TAAAGTTGAAGTTTGACTAATTAGTTGTGATACTAGGAATCTGGAGAAAACCTCAAGCATCAAATAATCTAATTAAGATTCTAACTGCAAAATGACCAGAAGATCAGACTGCATGAAGTAATCTAACAGTTAACTCAAAGACTATTATTTTAAATGTACGTTGTGCAAAGTTTTAAGAACATCAGTTTTGGAAGACAATTTAGAGTTCACTGATTAAACAAAGTAAGCCTGAAAGTTAGCTCATTATCCTAAAAGTTTGTTGAATGTAGAAAAACTATATATGCTTTATAAACATGCTCACCCTTTGAAAACACACTTGGTTAAATTCAGATCATTAGGTAACCAGTGTAAACAAAGCTTATGTCCTGCCCTCCCTCTGACACTATTCTATGTTTGACCCTTCCTTTTATTCCCCTATAAAATGTTAAGGAATTGATTGATAGAATTCTCTTTGCAGGGAGTGATAAGAAATCTGATTTTTTAAAGTCATCCGGAAATGGCAATAACAAACTGGACACAAGTAGTTCATACTTGTAATCCTAGCTACCCAGGAGGCTGAGATCCAGAAGATCACAGTTAGGGGGCCAGCCTGGGAAGAAAAAAATCACTAGAATCCATCGCTTAAAGAATAGCAAAAGGCCTGGTTGGATGTATACCTCAGGTGGTAGAGCATCATCCTAGCAAGTAAGACTTTGAGTTCAAACCGTAGTGTCTCTAAAAACATCAAAAAAGATAATATTCTAATACTCCATTTTCCATAGTGAAATATAATCTGCCTCCAGACTGCTTATATTTTAAATTCTAGGATTATCCAAAAGCTTTAGGCAACTGGGATAACTTACTACAATAATCCTTTCAGAGTTTTAACTTAAAACTAGTAAATTTAACTTCTATGTTCTTGAATTCACTCCTCTCCACATTTTCACTGGGCCAAATGATATTTTAATAGGATTGTCTGGGTAAGGAAATCCTATCACCAGCTGGACCAGTAGCATTCCTTTTCTGGAATTGTTTCTGCTGGAATGAGACAAGATTTGGACTAGTGTTTCTGTTGTTGTTGTTGTTGTTTTGTTTTGTTTATTTTGGTAGATAACGATAAGACATAAAATTTAGGAATTCCAGAGCTCTGTAGCAGCAGTCATCTAAAGTAAGGTAGAATGTTCCTTGTTATATAATTTTATTATTATCCATTAGTTGTACAAGGAGGTTGCTTTTCAACTTGTCCATTCATGCACAGGTTACACCTTGATTAGTCTCACCCCTCCCTTCTGCTCCTTCCTCCCTCGAGTGCCTTTTCTCAACTACTCTCAATAGGCATCATTGTTTTATTTTCACACATCTACATATGTTTTGGCCACATTCATTCTTCTTTGCGCTGGCTGTTCACTCTCTCCCCTCCCGCTAGTAAGCCCATGATACACAAAATCTGTTTTACATTCCTGTCATTCTTTTATTTTAGCCCATGCTAATTGTTGAATGATTTCACCTGGGAGCTCACGTATGCCCATACAGTATTCTAATCACATGGGCCCTTCCCCCCCATTCACTCTCACTTTGCCCATCCCTATTACCCCATTAATCAAGAGCTTTCAGTTGCTTTAATTTTGTTCTTTTCTTACTCAGGCGCACTATCTACGGATACAATGAGCAGAATGGGTTGCTCAAGAGACTAAATCCTAAGACAGACCAACAGTGACAGTTCTAATCAATGACAGTAGACTGACATAATTGTAGCTGTAAGATTGTGAGCGAGATCTCCAGAGAGACTTGACCAGGTAGCTGCTGGTCAACCCCTGACTCATGAACGTCGTATGCGGATAATAAATGTCAGAACTGGGCAAATGGTTGGCAGCACTGGGAAAGGGGATCTCCCCAATAGATAGTGATTGATCACAGGCTTGTCTTGGAAGAGGATGGGGACTTTCCAGGGTCCTGGAAGAGGTTTAGAGTTATTTGGTTAGTAGATCAGCCTGTCATGTATAGTTAACAGTAGTCAGCAGGGCCACATAAGAAAATATTGTTAAGTCATTTATGCCATCAAGATCTGCTCCCTGTTTCTACAATTAATTGGGAAAGAACTGCATACTCCAACATTAGCCCGAGTCCAGCAGGAGCCTTATTACATTTTTTAATTCTAAGCACTGAATGGTGGATGCTCCTCTGCCTGGTTGTTCAAAACTCTCCATCCTGAATCCAGTGGAAAGTAAAGCAGCTTAGCTATGAATTTCCATAATCAGAGACAATCATTGAAGTCTTATATGCTCTCAGGAATTAAATTGAAGATAAAAAAGAAAGCATACTTTCAACAGAAATCTTTGTAGCCTCTGTTAAAATACTTTGATGTTTTTTTTTACATGCAAACATGATAATAGAATATAGAAAATAAGAAGAAGGAAGTCCCATATCAGGTAATGGCCATATCAAGTTAAGGTGATTAGCTCAATGGGGAGTTTCAACCAGGTTACTTCAAAGGATATCCTGTGTGACATAAATGAGAGTTCTACTCCTAGTAACACCTAGGAAGCTTGTAGGATGGAAGGCGGAAGTGTGTATACAATAGTTCTATCTACTTAAGTCTAGTCTATGATCACTTCTCTCTTCTCTCATCTTTTTTATTTCTGCACATTTTTATGGACTGTATTTTTTATGGACTGGAGGGAAAAATCCCTTTCAGGAAATATTTCATTTGAACATTAGTTGAAACTTATTATTGACCTTAAAATCTGACATTTTTGTTGGATCTGATAACAGGGAAACAAAATGTGACTAATTTTCTCCTTGCTTTATTAAAAATAACTAATGAATATAAATATGCCTCAATTTCATTTCTTAACAGTTTCCTGCACACATATTTTGGAAACTCTATGACTAAATAATTAGGTCATTGATTATATCTTGAACATAAATTAAGCCTTCCAATTTATTTTCGATCTGAAAATTGCAATGCAAAGGTTTCCAGATAAACTTTTCATTTCCTAACTTCAAATTATCTCCTTTGATAAATTTCTCTATCAAAAAGATTTATTTATTGAGCTACTAGACTCCTCAATTACTAATAGCAGCACATACAAATGTCTTCCACACATCTGCCTTCATAATTTAGTAGCAAGTAAAAATTGCCAACGGAAATATCATAACAGAGTTTATTCCAATTCTTGATGACATTCTATTTCTTTTTTTCAGTGAGTGAGGAAAAAATCTGAGAGAGAAAATACCTCTGGAAAGTATAAATACTGATTCAAACACCTTTATCTGTACTTTCATTTAACAGAATTTTTTTTTTGAGGATTGCAGAAGTGCAGAGAAAAGTCAATTGGTGGCGAGTCTAGACCTGAGATAACCTGGCGCGTTCTATAAAACACTACACAACCCAAATGTCTTAATATTCCAAATATTTGGATAGAAATAAAAACATATTAGGAGGCTGAGAACTGCCCTTGGTAGTCACTTAATGAAATCTGCAGATGCCTGTGGTGTAACTCGTGTCAGCTTGAGAACAGAGATCATGATTCTGACCTAGAAGAGTACGGACAGATGTTTATAGAGAACATTAAGAATAACAACTTGCTTATCTAGCTAATAAATCTCTGCACATAAGACTTCTGACCAGAAACTTGGTGAGAGAATCCCATAAACACCAAGCTGACTATCATTCAACAACTGGAGAAACAAAGGCACAGAGATACTGAGCAGCCTGTGCAAGTTCCCCAGCTGTAGCTGGAATGTGATGATCTGGCTTCTGGGATGATGCTTTTAACCTTGGAGGAGCACTGTCACAGCAGAGCAAACACTGGAGTCACAGAGGTGAAAGCTTTAGGATTGGAGAAAACTCATCCTTTCCATCAAAAAGTCTGCAGTTCAATACACCAGCAGTGAGGCTCACATTTCCCAAGTGTGAAACTAGAGAAACCCTTTGGGGAGAAAATCCACCCCCAAGGAAAAGATGCATGAAAATTAACCTCCTGGCTTTCTCCTATGGAGTTCTGACAAACCCTGGCCTTTCAAAGTAAGCTATTCAAAGTGTCTTTTTTAAAAAAGCAGGCTTAGTCTGTTTTTGCCTTGCTATAGAGAAATACCAATGTCTATGCAACTTATAAAGAAAACAGGTTTATTTCTATCACAGATTTAGCATCTAAAATTCCAAATAGCACAGCATCACCTTTGATCTAGTTTTCGAAAAACATATTATAAAGAATTTTAAACAAAACCTGCTAAACTATATTGAATATCTTGTCATTTACCATGTTGTTTTAATTTAAAATGTACTCTATGTTAAATAGATAAATCTCTGCTGCTTAGTATGCAGCAAGATGGTGTTCTAATTATTATTTTATCTAATTTAATTTTTAATTATTGTTATATTTTTATTATGCTCTTAAATTATTGTCATGACTGCAGAATTGTTCATTGTACAAATGCACACATGTTTTTAAAACAATAATCTGAATGAAAGATTGGTCAACTGTGTTGGAAAAGGATTCCCTAAGTGATTACAACTTTCTCTTTTTTATCTTTTGAACTACAAGTGGCCATTTGCTTGACTGATTCAAGTGATTCCCTTTTTGAGAAAGTTCAGGGATGTGGGGGACGGAAAGGAAAGTGGGAGATAAGGGAGAGGGTAACACTGCTCGACAAGATGTAACCCCTCTGTTCAGCACCTTTACAATAAAATTAAATTTAGAAAAAAAAGGGGGGCCTGGAATGTGCTTGCTTTGCACTCATGAGGCTGGGTTCGATTCCTCAGCACCACATAAGCAGAAAAAAGCCAGAAGTGGTGCTGTGGCTCAAGTGGTAGAGCGCTTGCCTTGAGCTGAAGAGCTGAGGGACAGCACCCAGGCCCAGAGTGCAATCCCCACGACTGACCAAAAAAAAAAGTTATTTTTCTCTCCTTGTATCCTTAAGAACATTTATAAGAAAACACTTGTCATGCAGTCTTGGAGCTATATTTGAAAGACTGAAAATGCTTCTATAGTCTCTACAGATCTGTATCTACTCTTTAGGGGCACTGCAATCGCTGGCATCGTGTTTGGAATCGTGTTCATCATGGGGGTCATCGCAGGCATCGCCATCTGCATCTGCATGTGCATGAAGAACAACCGGGGAACCCGGGTAGGCACCATCAGAACTGCTCACATCAACGCCATCTCCTCCTGTCCTGGTGAGCAATGCTGCCTAACTCCTGAAAAATTACCTGGCTCACTGGTTACCTTCTACCCCTTAGAGACAGGAGGAAACACTAAGGACTCTCATGGAGATAGTCTCACATTTTACTAGGGCACTTCTCAGAAAATGTACACTGAAACTGCCACTTTGAATAAAGTAGAAGTAAGTAAAGGTCCAAGTAAGAAAATCTGTCTTGGGTTTGAGGACATTCATAGTCTCAATGGTTCTCACGTGGACTTTCTAGTGAACCAAAATTATAATAAACAATTCACAGCCTGTGTCCCTGTCTACCAGTGATCTCTGATAAGTAAGTACAAAGAAAATATATTAGGTGTCTCAGTAAACTAGCATCTGAGGCAATAGATGTACATATGTGGGGAAAATATTGAAGAAACTTTTTATATATCCTCATTAAACACAAAAAAATGAAGAATGCTGTCACATAATATTAAAATGCTTGACAAAAGTAAAGGTAACATATTAATAACCTGCCAAGTATGTGCTGAGCCCTTGCTAGGAGTTCCCTATATAAATATATCGAACATATCAGATTTCATAAGCAAACTACAACATTTTGTATCCATGATCTTGTTAGGGCTTTCTGTGTCAACCTGTGTGTGTCTGATGTGACATACAAAAGAGCAAGCTTTAAATCTGACACACTCTCAGTAAACAATTTCTCATCCACATTCATGTCCTCTCAGTCTCTAGAAAAATGGAGGAATGTGTCTTCTACATATAACGTGTCCTATAAAAATAATTCCCTACTTATTCCCTCCACTTCTAGTCTTTTCTCTATTCACTTCAACCTGGAAGAACAAATTTCAGATGAGCATGGGCGTGGTCCCTTCTCCATTCCTGTTGGGTCATGTCTCCTTCTCCTCCACTGTCTTCATGGTGCAGTACGTCAGATCTCAGTCTTACTCCCTCCACACACCACCCTGCTTTACTTATATCATTTGGATTCACAATAATCAGTCCCACTAATATTCTAATGCTTCCCAGAGTCACATAGCTCTATTCTAAGCCTGCCTTCCCACATTTAGGTATATCTGTGTCTAGGACACTTGTCCTCTTGGTGTCTATGAAATATGCCAGTTTTAATGTGTTTTCAGATTTTTTCTATCTCCCCTTCTGTAACCTTTCACATTTTAGTTGAGAGCATCTCCATCTTCCTGTTACTCAGGCCAAAAACCTGGAGTCATCTTTGATTCCTCTCATTTCTTCCAAGAAATTTCCTCAGGAAAATTTCCCAGCTCTACCTCCAGAATACAGTCAGCCGCTGACTACTTCTCTCAGTGAGGAGAGGAAGAACTTCTCTAGGGGGAGCCATACTGTCCTTTACTGAGGTTACATCCTGACTCCACTTCCAGCACTCCCTCTTGGCTTCTTCAGCCTCGTTCCCTTTGCCAATGTGGGTCTATCACACTTCGGGCAAATGAAGCCTGCCTTAATCTCTGATTTAAGTCTATAATCAGTCCCTTCTCTTTTCCTTACCCTGGTCATCCTTATGACACCCCATTTATTTTCAGGGTGTTTATAATCTTGGAAGAGACCATAGATTTGAATATTACTGTACCATGATGTTAGCTGTTGACTTCCCATCTCCTACTAGAATATTAGCTCCATATTAGAGATCTTGGCGTGTTTCATTCATCTCTTTGTTTTGAGCAGGTAAGACTTGGCATAGATTGGTACTTAGCAAACTTTCCTGATGAATGAAGCACACAAATCATGTTGAGACCTGACTTTTCAATAACTACATGGTTGGTCATAGGTTTCACCTACTAATCCATGCCTTCTATCCACTATGCAAACAGCATATCCACTTTGCAAATCTGCCAAATTAAATGATTTGTGTCTGCACACTTAGCTACTTGGGAAGCAGAGATCAGAACTATCATGGTTCCAATCTAGCCTAAGAAAAAAAAGTTTATAGGAGATTAAATAGCGAAAGGAAGTTATGGTCACAAAATCAAGGAAGGAAGCTTTTAGGCAAGTGTGTGCATTCATTCAGAAATAGGGAATTTTGCAGTTGATGCACTGTTAATTGTATAGAAGTTGGGAAAAAAAACAAACAGAACCATTATCCTATGACCATGTAATTGCCATTGTTTTTTAAGAAATTACTACAGAGTCACTACATTATTACAGAAAATTAAAATGTTATTTCATGATAACTATTCAATTAGTTCATGCCACCAACAAATGTACACTTATTGAACCAACAAAGAAATAAAATGCACCATTTTTCTCTCCAGAAAAGAAAAAGAAAAACACTTGCGAGGCCCATCTCCTTTTCAGCAGAAAAAGCTTGGCAAGGTGGCAAACTGGTAAACATATATATAGACACACACACACAAAATAAGCTAGAAAGAAAGGGCTAGAGCATGGCTTAAATGAGAGAGCTTTTTCCTAAGTCCAAAGCCCTAAGTTCAAATATCAGCACTGCCAAGAAATGTTAAATGTTTCTAATTTGCCAAGAATATTGTTGTAGTTGGTATGAAGATATTAAGATGAAGATATAAGGAAAACAACAAATAGAAAACGAGAGAAGAGAATACATTCTATCTCTAATTAAATGCAAGGTCATGTGTTATCTGAAGTTTGAGGTTGCTTTTTCATGCCTAGAAACATATTTATTTTTCAGGCTTCATAGTGTCATTATTTCTACAGAGAGAACACACAACATGACGCTTTTGTAGTAAATGTACTGTTCTGGAAATGGAATACTGCAATAAACATTAGGAGCCTTATTCTGGAAACATTTTTTGGCTGCAAAAATAAAATAAAATTTTAAAAACTTAGTCTAGAAAAAGGTAATGTCCTTGATTACTTCTCATTTCCTGCTCAAAGTCAGTAATTAAGCTTTCACTTGAAGGATCAGGAAATGACACATAATGGTATTGACTGCTTTTGAAAACCCTTCATCTGTGGAAATACAAAGACGGTTACTGGCACTAATTAATTAACCTTGTGAAAATTGAGATAACAACCCAACTCACTGTATTATGTACTTCCACCGTCTAAAGCCACAGAAAGGAGAATGTGGCTTATCTTCTCACGAGGTGGAAGGGCTCAGTGGGAGTCTGCAGGGATTATTGCTGTGCTCTGCAGAGAACTGAATGTCATTGTGCTTCTCATTCCACCCTTGTGAGGCAGTGACCTTTCAGAAGTAACCTCTTCTTGTGGTGTTGGTTAGATTGAATGGGTATCTTTTCAAATTACGATTATTAGTAAAATGATCAGTAAAATGGGAATTACATGTCAAGTTGCACATCTATAATATTTTCTGGAACTTCTATGTAAGCAAATGAAATAACCATATTAACTCTGATTTGAAAACAGAGTCAGCTGACAATGCCAAAGCTAGAGGAAAAATAGTATACTAAATCCGTGACCAAAGTCTTGGCAAAGACCAACAAAAAGAAAATAAGGCTTTTCGATACCATCAAGAAAACTGAAACAAGAAGGATGTTTTTGAGTTCCTTGAGAGAGAAAGAGAGAGAGAGAGTAGAAAGACAGAATGACTGACAGACAGAAAGGGGATGAGATATTTGCTAATGAAAGAATGTTAGAATGCTAAAGGATACATAAGAGTTGAAAAGTTGGGGGAAATCATCAATCTAATATCCTTAGAAAATTTGGGTTAAATCACTAAAAAGGGAGGGGATGGCTGATGACCCTAATATTTGCAAATCATAAAGTAGCCACAAGATTTTTTTCAGTTACAAGAGGGGAAAATGAGTAACAATACAGTGGAGAAACCAGACAATGTCTCAACTGGAAGACCAAAATAAATAATACTCAATAGGGACAAAAGGATAATCATTCCCCTGTGAGTATGTTACTCTGAGTTAAGATAACTTCGAATATGAAATGTGCGGTCTGGAAGCTTAGAGTCTAAATCTCAGCACAACAAAATATCTAAGCTGACGAACACTCTTATTAACTGAAGAATGGGATAGATGTAGAGATTAATAGAAATAGTATTTAAAGACAGCCCTTACTCCTCTAAGACTGAAGAAGGTTTCTTTTTTGTTTGTTCATTTTGACTTTTAATTGGGAACTCCAAAGAAAGTTGTTTTCTAAAATAGTTTATTGGCTGGGAAGAGATCCTAAATCATAACCCAACTATTTCCAGATGAAAGAGGTTGAAATCTAGGGCACTCTGACTTATTTCTGTGTTTGGTTCAGCCTATTGGAAAGTCTGTGGTTTGGTCTTGAGCAGATGGTAGTGAAATTATCACACTGTCTTCAGACTCCCCTTCAGGAAGTTTCAGACTTACTTAGACAAGAAAGACCACAGATATCAACAAGAATTAGAAAGAATATACTTGATCTTGAGGTATATGTGTATCAAAAGAGCTGCAGGTTTTTATTATTTTGGTAATGCTTAACAGTTTCAGTGATACCCTGCACCTTCCTTAGAGATTGCCCTAAACAGGTTGACAACTTTAAATTTATTCTCTGAATTTGGTATCATCCCTCATTTTATTTTGAGACAAAGTCCTACTGTGAAAACCAGGAACTAGAACTGGCTCTGTCTCCCAAACCAGATTATCCTACCTCAGCTTCCTAAGCAGGAGAATTACAGACATATCCCACCAAGCCCAGCTTCAAATGTTAACATTGTAGACAAACTATATGAAGCATTGTGGGGAAATGGCCTATTTGCACTCCTTATATCAGATAATTATAATATTGGTTATGCCAGAGTTTCAAAGGCCCCATGTCTCCAGCTGCACCCACACATATTTCAGAGATTATTTGACCTATAAAAAAGAACAAAATCTCTTTGGATTAATTAGGAATTCTAAAATTGGTATTGCAAAAAGTTTACTTCCTAAGGAAAGTATATTCTCAGCGAGAAAGATAATATAATCCACCATTATCTAAGTATCATTTCCAAATAGCTCCCAGTGAGTGTTATTATTTTTTTAATGTGCCATGAAATAGTCCTAAAAATTTCACTCTTTAGCATCATTATCGCTTTATCAAAATTCAAACGCTATATAAAAGAGCAGTTTCATGTCTGAGATTTTTCATGTCAATTATACGAGTTGGGAGGAAACATTTCTCATTGAAACGTTCTCCAGCACCATTTGTATACAGACGGCAGAGAGAAAACTCTTTGCTTCAGATGAATGAATACACAGGACAGGTTCATGACAGGGACCAATGCAAGACAACCTTCAGAATCAGCCCGCACAGCAGGAACTGATGAGAAACCGGAACATAAAAGCAGTGAAGAATCAGGTTCTTACAGCACCGTGGACATCATTGGACCTTCCTGTTCAACATGGAGGTTGCCTTAGTTGCTTCCTTTGACTGGTTGAAGTGTGTTGTAAATCTCTTCCATCATTCTCTTAGATCACTGCCACTGAGGAATGGATATAAAATTCAGAAGAAATGGTTAGAGTCATTTCATTTCATTTTTTTATACAAAGTAGAGCTTTGAGTAGACCCACATCTAAAGGGGCATTAGAGAAGCTATGATCATCTGGGCTGATTTCCACACAGAGCTGGGCCTCTACTGAAGCACTTAGTCCACTTGGTTCTCTAAGGGCTTAGTCAAAGAGCACTGCATCCTACTCAATTCTGTGGCTCCTCTATCCTCTTTTCTCAGATGAGACAATTCTTTATTCTCACTTCTTCCATTGGTGTCAGTAAATGAAACCAATCATCAGGCTCTTGGTAAAGAGAGGCTCTTGGTAAAGAGATTGAGAAAGCAAGTCTCTGTCTCTGCCAATCTGTTGAGGCCTGGTGTTTGTATGTAACCATGAATTAGAATGCTATCAAGTTCTTATTGAAAAGAGCACAGCTTAGAAGACACTTAGTAAAGTTTGTTGAAACTTCATTCTTTTTTGCTGCCACTCTACTATTGAAAAGCTTGGCCGTTTATTTGGACCATCACACTTGTCTTGAGATTTGGACTACATTTACAGGAAACAACTAAGACACATGCATTTCCTAACAGACTTGAGGTGCTGCTTCAACTTCTAGAGCATCTTCAGACTTACTACTGAGGGACTGTCCAAATGTTGCAGAATGATTAGTTCTTCAATATATGGGCAGGTTTCTGCTCCAGAACCCCCTGTTTTCCAGCCCTGGAGGAGAACCGAGATCACTCCATAATAGCTATCCATAGCTAATCATTCAAAGGTGTACTAAATGTAATTTTTACTATGCTGACAGGTATTACAGTGACAGTTAATCCAAACTTTCAAATAAGATTTAGAATGTGGAATTCATCTTCAACCCTACCTCTACTTGTTTCCTTTTTTTCTCTTCTTATTTCTGTAATGGCTCCACCATCCTGTGAGTTATTGGCGTCTCACACGGGGTACCCAATATCTTTAGCTCTTTCTTCTTTCTCTCTCTTACCCCTCCTGCCAGGCACTCACTCTTGCCTATGAGCTCTGCCAATCTGGGCTCTTATGAACGGTTTCTTCTTACTGTCATGCCAGTCTGGGGTCCCTCAGGTATGTTTCTGCATCATCTTACCTTTTCTTTAGCCTCCTATTTATATTGCTGAGAGAGCAATCTTCGGCAAGTGCGTTCACTGACATAGTCAAAGAAAGCTTCTGATAACTCCACAACACATACTTGATATATGCTTTTCAAAGCTTACCAAGGCAGTGAACTGATCTCACGTTCCCATCTATCTCCTTTCTTTGTATCTTGTGCTGAAACAAAGGACCTCTCCTAATGCTATACTTTTGGCCCAACTTGAATTATTCTTCAACTTCTTTTCTATCTTCCCCTTCCGCTTCATATGTCCTACAGACTTTCTCAACGTCAGTAATTTGGAACCACTTAAGTCACTTTCCAGCACCATTCAGAGAGCTTGTCCCTTCATGTACCCATGCCCTAGACTTGAAAAAAATAATATTTTTGCAGAGAAATACTATACAACCTTCTGAAGTATTTAGTTAGATTAGTGGTGCAAATGCAGCAGGTGTGCAGGTATTTGCTAAATGGCTAATCATTTTTCTCCTCTTTTTTCCCCCAGGGGCTCCACCCCCCTACACTTATGACCATGAGATGGAATACCATGCAGACTTGCCTCCTCCATATTCCCCGATGCCAGTGGCTTCTGTACAGCGCTCTCCACCCCCTCCTTATCCTGGAAATGCAAGAAAATAATCCCCCTGGAACAGTGTTAATCAGTGGTCTTGCCTGGAAGAAAATGGCTCACCTCGGAATCAGGCAGAAAATGATTGCCCTAAGGAATACTTCAGGGGGTCAGATCGCAACTCAGATGGAATGCCCATGTTCTAAAATGCTGCTTTCCCATTCTGCTCAGAGCTGACACTCTGTCTGGTTCTATGGAATTACACCTTGAAAGATCAATTGATCTACTTAAGTATATTCAGACAAGAAGAATGAAATTGACAGAACATCTAGCCTGTTGTTTAAGGAGGAGTTGAAGAATTGATCCTGGAAAAGAGAAGACAGAAGAGGAACACAAGCATATCCTGTCCCATATAAGGAAGAAGCTTTATTTTCTGTAGCTTTAAAAGTCAAACCTAGAATTGTTCATTATTTCAGTCACCCAGAGGTGTATCCTGAGTTCCTCATAGCCTGCTGTGTGCCGGGCACTATGCTAGAGGCCCCGGAGTGGAGGTCACTGGGGAGTTTAGGTTTTAGTAAAGGCATACCTCATTTATTACACTTCGCGTTATTGCACTTTTCAGATATTTCATTATTTTTTACAAGCTGACTGTGGCAATCCTTCGTTGAGCAAGTCAATCTGTGCCATTTTTATAATAGCGTATGCTAACTTCATGTCTTTGTTTCACAGTTTAGGAATACTTACAATATTTGTAAACATTCACAGTGTTATTATATCTGTTATAGTGATCTGCTGGTGGTGTGATTTGTTTTTGTAAAATTACTTTTGTGTTTGCTTTGGGTTGCCATGAGCCAGGCCCATATAACATAATAAGCTTAATAGATTGATAAATGTGTGTATTCTGACTGCTCTTCTGACAAGCTGTCTCCTATCTCCCTCCCTCCTCCTTGGGTCTTCCTATTCCCTGACATACAACAATATTGATACTTGGCCAGTTAATAACGCTACAGTGGTTCTAAGTGTTCAGGTAAAAGGAAGAATCACACATCTCTCCTTTAAATCAAAAGTTTGATATGATTAATGTCAGTGAGGATGACCTGACAGAAACTGAGACAGGCTAAAATGTATGTCTCTTGTATCACACAATAATCCAAGTTGTGAACATAAAAGGATTATGTTCTTCCCCCACGGTATAACCCCTGTTTTCACTATATTTGATGTCAGTGCCCTGCATCTTTTTTTATGTTTTTTATTGTGAAAATACTGTACAGAGGGGTTACAGTTACATGAGCAAGGTAAGGAGTACATTCCTTATCAAGCATTGTTGCCTCCTCCTTTGTTTTTCCCCTACCATCCCTGCCCTCCCATCTCCACAACTACACTCCCCTCCTCCCCTGCCTGTATTATAAAGTTCGTATTTCAACATAGTGCCTTGTAATCTCATTGTTACAATGGGGCAACGTATATTCCTATTTAAACATTTTGTTTTTTCCCTTCCCCTCCCAAAATTACACCGACATCAAATACAGTGGAAACAAGTTATACTGTAGGGGAGGAACATGAAAAGCAACAAAAAAAAATCACTTGGTACATTATAAAAACGTTCGAAACAATACCAAGAAAGACAAAACAACTTGTGTCCCTGTCTTGGGGTTCATTTCACTTAACTTCATCTTATCTTAGCTTTTGACCTTTACTACTTGTCCCAGACATATACTAGTTATTGCAAATAAGAGAAACCATGGGATCTATGTTTCTTTGGGCGGTTTACTTCACTTAATATAATTTTTTCCAAGTCTTTCCATTTCCTAACAAATGGGGCAACGTAATTCTTTCTGATGAAGGCATAGAATTCCATTAAGTGTGTGTGTGTGTGTGTGTGTGTGTGTGTGTGTGTGTGTGTGTGTGTGTGTGTATCTCATTCTCTTGATTCATTCTTCTACTGAGGGGCATCTGGATTGGTTCAAATCTTAGCTGTGGCAAATAATACTGCAATAAACTTGTTGTGCTGATAGCTTTAGTATGGTCTTGTTTTGGATCATTTGGGTAATTGCCCAAAAGTGGGATTGCTGGATATAGGGAAGCTCTATATGTAGTCTTTTGAGGAACCTCAATACTGCTTTCCAAAGTGGTTGAACAAGTTTACACTCCCACCAACAATGCAGTAGGGTTCCCTTCTGGCCACTCCCCTCCAGCATCTGTTGTTATCAGAATTCTTCATTATAGCCATTCTAATTGGGGTGAGGTGGAATCTCAATGTTGTTTTGCTTTGCATTTCTTTTATGGCTAGGGAGGTTGAGCATTTCTTCATGTGTCTATTGGCCATCCTTCTTTCCTCTTCAGAGAAGTTTCTCTTTAAGTCTTTAGCCCACTTATTTATTGGGCAGTTGTTTCTTTGAGCATTTGTTGTTGGGGGTTTAATTTTTTGAGTTCCAGGTATATTTTAGATATGAGATCCTTGTCCACTGTATGGCTAGTGAAGATCTCCCAATCTGTGGGCTTTCTATTGATCTTGCTAGCTATGTCCTTTGCCATGCAGAAGCTCTGCAGCTTCATGCAATTCCATTTGTCCAACCTTTCTTTGATTTCTTGTGTTTCTGGGTCTCTATTAAGAAAATTTAGGCCTGTGGCAAGGAGACCTAGGGTTTCTCCTATTCCATCCTGTAATGTTTTCAGAGTGTCTGCTTTGACTCCGAGGTCTTTGATCCATTTAGACTTGATTCTGGTGCCAGGAGATATATAAAGATCAAGCTTTAGTTTTCTACAGGTGATTAACCAATTTTGCCAGCACCATTTACTGAAGACATGCCCTGCATCTTGTATACACATTTTTTCTAATTTGGGGAGGGGAAGGGAAATAACAAAATGCTGAAATAAGGATACAGGTTGACCCATTGTAACAATGAGATGTACAAGACACTATGTTGAAAACAAACTTTACAAATGGAGGGGGAGCAGGAAGGAGTTGGGGAGGTGGGGTGGGAAGGGATGGTAGGGGGAAAACAAAGGAGGAGGAAACACTGCTTGGTAGGAAATGTACTCATTACCTTATTCATGTTAGTGTAACCCCTCTGACTACTATTTTTACAACATAAACATAAAAAAGAAAGTCGAAAAACAATGTCTCTTCAGGGAACACCCAAATGATAAGAAAGAGAATTCATCTCATTGCCTTCACACACACACACACACACACACACACACACACACACACACACACACACACACACACAAAGCTTTAATGTGGATAGTAGCCCAAAGCAGTCACATTCCTGTAAGCCAAAATGCAATCTGGAAGAGGCTATTACCCTCATCAACAAAATGCAGAGCTGAAGACACAGAAAAGAGAAGGCGGCAGAGGCTGGGCTGTGAGCTTTAAGGAAATAAGTCTCTCCATCACATAAAAGTGCAAGATGAAGCAGCAGGCTCTGCTGCAGAAGCTGCAGCAAAATCTCCAGATCTAGCTAATACCACTCAGGAAGGTGGCCGTGCTGCACAGCACATTTTCAATGTCGGTAGAACAGCATTATAGGAGAAGATTATGGCAGCTCGGACTTTCATAGCTAGAGAGAGACGTCTTCCTGGCTTCAAAGCTTCAGAGAACAGGCTGGCTGTCTTATTACGAACTAAAACATCTGGTGACTTTACACTGAAGCCAATGCTCAGTGTGATTGTTGTAAATCTACTCAGCTCTAGTCTCTACACAGCAAAGCCTGGTTCTAATATGGCTCTTTTTTTTTTTTTTAATATTTTGAGCCCATTCTTGAGACCTACAGCTTAGAAAAAAATCCTTTCAAACTATTAGTGCTAATGAGTAATGCAGCTGGTCACTTAGAGTATCACGAGAGATGCATAAGAACACAAAGGCTAGCTACTTCATGGATGCTAACATGGCATTCATGCTGGGGCCACAGAGGAAAAGAAACTTTTACTTTTGAGTTTTACTTTCAAAAGACATATTTCATAGGACCATAGTTGCCATAAGAATTAATTCCTCTGATGGATCTAGAAAAAGTTAATGGAAAACTTCTTGAAAAATATTCAAAATTCTAGGTGCTATTCAGATCAGTTGTGATTTAGGAAAGGAGGTCAAAGCATCAAATTCACAGGGATTTGGACCACATTGGTTCCAGCTCTTCTATGTGGTTGACATTGATCCCATCCCTGCAGTATGGTTTAAGACTTCAGTGGAAGAAGTACCTGCAGAAGGACTAGAAATGGCAAAAGAAGCCAGGCACTGGTGGCTCATGCCTGTAATCCTAGCTACTCTGGAGGCTGAGATCTGAGGGCCACAGTTCAAAGCAGCCTGGGCAGGAAAGTCCAAGAGACTCTTATCTCCGATAAACCACTAGAAATCCAGAAGTGGTGCTGTGGCTCAAGAGGTACAGCACTCACCTTGAGCTAAAGAGCACAGAGACAGCGCCCAGGCCCAGAGTTGAAGCCCCACAACTGAAAAAAGAAAGAAAGAAGGAAGGAAGGAAAGAAGGAGGGAGTAAGGAAGGAAGGAAAGAAGGAAGAAAAGAAAGAAAGAAAGAAAAAAGAAGGAAAGAAAAAAGAAAGAAAAGAAAGGGCAAAAGAACCAGAATTAGAAATGGAGCTTGAAAATATTCTGCAGGCTCATAAATGGAGGGGCCAAAGACTGATTTCTTTTTTTAAATTTTATTTTCTTGTAAAGATACTGCATAGAGCAAAGTCATTTCTAGAGTTAAAACCCACTCCTCCTGGTGATGTTGTGAATATTGTGGAAATGATCGCCAAAGGAATAGAATATTAGAGAAATAACAATATTAAAGCAGCATCAGGATTTGAGAAGATTGGCCACCATTTTCAAAGATGTTCATTCTACTGTGGATGAAAATCTCTGCAACAGCAGCCCAGGCTATGGAGAGAGCTCTCATGCGCAGAATGCAGAAGCGTCCACCTATGCATCGAACTTCATGGCTGACTTATTTTAAGATATTGCTACGGCCTCCTCAACCTTCAGCAACCACCGCCACGATCACTCAGCTGCCATAGTCATCAGCATAGAATGAATACCCTCCCGTATCAAAAGAGATTATGACCCTCTGGTCATTAGCATATTTTAGCAATAAACTGTTTTTTAATTAAAGCATGTACAAAGTTTTATAGACATAATGTTATTTCAAGCTTAATAGACCACAGTATAATGTAAACATGACTTTAATGGGCACTGGATGGAAAATCAAAACGTTTGTGTGACTCAATTTATTGCGATAAATAGTCTGGAAATTAATCAGCAGTCTATCCCAGCTATCCCTGTATTGTGTGTGGGGTGGGAGGACAGGGAAAAGCAAGCTTAGTTTTCTTATTGAAGCAGTCGTTTTGTGAGATTCTCTGTTACCAAAACTTCAAAACAGTATCTGAATATCTAATAAAGAAATGTTCTAAAAAGGTATCTAAAGCTGATGCTAGATAGTTCTGCTCATATGTTAAGTAAATGTGAAGTGAATTTTATATCTCCAAAACTAAAAATAACAGTTGAATCTTATTTATTGAAATGGAGAATTAAAAATAGGATCAAAGGAACTCCACAGGCACTAGAATCCAAGTTTCTACAATGCTAACATCTGCTTCCTGCAGCTCCTCTGGCTGTACTCAGTGGATTATGACAAAGGTCATTCCAACTGTGGAGGAAAGGCAACAAATACTTCACTTTAAAGCAAAAGATGAGTAGCCTATTAATCCCACAGATTTTACGCTGGGTAGTGAAATCTCAGAGCTTGAGGATGAGAGAAAGCAAACTTACAAAATGGTAAGGGAAAAATAAAATTTGGATTCCCTTCTGTGGAATTCTATTCAAATGTAACCAAGACCGGTTTTTATTCTTGTTTTTGTAAAACTTTGATAATTTCTTCTTTTGAAAAGTTATGTAGTTAATGATTGTTGCCTTTTGCTAAAATGAACGTCTGATGAAATGCCTCTCTTTAGACGCAGAAACATTAACAAGTAATTGAATGTATCCTGTTTTGTTGTGAATGACCTTAACATTTGTATTTTTTATGTGGCTCTTTTTTTCTTGCATACTGAACACTATAACTGGACTTTTGTGTCATTTTAAAATTAAAACAAAGTATTCAGTCATGTATCATCATCATATTTCTATGAAATCCCAGAATAAGGTCAAGAATGTTGTTGAATAAAGCAATGGGATTTCCTAAGGTCACATCATAGTAGCATCTGTAGTTAGATACTATTTTAATTAGAGTTAAGAGTGAAGTGGTGAAGCTAGTTAATATAAATGGTTTCCTTTTCTGTCAAATGCCTACACTAGAAACACAAGGATCTGATTGACCATAGTTTTTTATTCCCTGAGATCCAAAGGCTAAAAATTGTTTTGTATGACTTGTCCAATTTAAGCTACTGATAACTTTCTGACTTATGAAGATAAAGTGCTTTGAAGACTTTTGACCTACTCTAGTAAGTGTGTTTCTTCGACTTACAGAAAGTGTTTAGCACAGTGTTCACAGTCTATATGTCATACATAGCATCATTTTTCTGCATATGTGATCAGATTCAATCACACTTCATCTATGACATTCAAAGGGCTCAAGTCACTGTGAATTTGAGACTATTGACTGCAATATACCACATACTATTTAAGAAAAGTGGAGAGAAATGGCTGCATTATCAATATCTTCATCATCGGTGATTGCTGTGTTCCTCTTGTGTTGTTAAATCTTATGCACACAGAGGAGCCATTTTGGTCCCTACCATTTCTCTTAGTTATTTATAGCCTCCCAGCAAGCACACCACAGGCCCATACATGATTGCTATTACTACTATCTAGTGTCACAATTACACAAATGTGCACACAATGGACTTTGGAAGTTCTTTGTTTTTTTAATAAGTCATACTTTGGTTGGGGAAGGAAAATAATATGTCTCTCTCTCTATATATAGGCTTGAATTATGATAAGTAGTTTGTGGCCAAACTACTTACAATAAGCAAGATAAATGAAATAAACCATTAGAAGAAGGGTTACATTTTAATTGTCCTGCATTCATTCTTTTTATGTCCTCAGTCCAGTTGATTTAGCTCTTTCCTCCTAGGTACAGGAAACACAAGTCTGGAGCACCTTTCTGTACTCATAATCTTTACTATGAATCTCATTTCCTGTCTGTATTATCTGAGCGATGTTACTGAAGTTTCTCCAAGGTTTAACTTTCTGCAAAATCTAAAAAGTATAATGGGTATCACCAGATTCTGTGATGACTGAATCGGTAGATGCAAAATTCTACACGTGGGGTATAACACATGAAAAATGTCCTATAAAGATGAGCCAGAAATTCAACAAAAGATCTCTGTGAAAATTGCTTCTAGAACGGTGCTATCCAACATGCTTATAGATGATCATTTAAGATAATTGAAATTAAATTAAGTGAACCTTTAAGCTCTTCTGTCTCACTAACCCTATTTCAAGTGATGCATAGCCTGGTGTGGCTGGTGACTGTCAGATCAGAGAGTTTTGCTCTATAAAAATCGGTATAAATTATGAACTAACAGAAATCATTCCAGTCACCACCAACCAGAAAAATCTATGGGCTTTACCAGTTAATTGTGAGGAAGCCATTGTGTGACCATATACCATACCTTTCAGAAGCCATGAGCAATAAGAGGCCCGTCACACCTCTCGCCACAGCTGGGCTTAGGAAGCTATTGGAGAAGCTAAGGGATAACGGTACAAGTCAAACCTTGGACATGGTTTTTGAAATGGACAGACAGGCTGAGCCTCAATTCCACAGCTCCCCGCTCTGCTCTAGAAGTTGCCACATGAGCATTCAGGGATGCCCCAGCTTCCCGAAGGGCAATTCTGAATGTACCCAACTGCTCTTCATTACCTGTGCCCAACACCAAAGGAAAGTGGCATCCACCATACATCCATTCAACTACCACCTTGCCCTCATCTAATCAAACCTATTGATCAGACTCTCATCAGATGAGATATTAAGCTTAGACAATATGGAGCTACGAACGCTGTCATTTTATTTAACTTGGTTAACATAGCCTAATACCCACGTACTAAAGTCCCACTTTGCTAATCACCACACAGGCTTCTAAGGATTGTTAGGTTCTCAAGCAAACCTGCTGGGAATAGGCAATATTTATTTCCTCATTCCAGGCCCAGGCTGCAAGAAGTCAGGCTGAGCAGTGAGCTTTTGTGATACAGGTCCACTGTGTAGTGTGCTTCAGTTCAGACAGTCAGAGCCTTTGGAGGAGGAAGGTGAGAAGGAAATCAGAGTTTCCATCCTTTCCAGTCCTATTGTCACTTCTTATGCCCCAACCATGCCCAAGAAGGGACTCGGCTCACTTCAGTCATCTTAGAATCTCTTCTGAGCCAGACAACCACATTTCTATAAGGTCCCTTTCTTCTAGAATATAGAAGGAATACCACCCTGGCCAGGTAGCTTCCATGACTGTGAATGATGCATGTAAGACATCTGTCACAAAGATCTTATGTAGGCTAGTAACTCAGACACAAATATATATTCATCTCCTTATTCCAACCATTGCCCTTCACCCCCACGCCTTCCTACATCTATTACTGTATGTAATTATCCCAAAACACTTCAAAATTTAGTGGCTTAAAATAATATTTATTATCTTGGATCCCCTAGAGGCATAATTTAGCTGGGTTCACCGTCAGGAAGCAGTCATCTCAATGTGTAATTTGAGGAAAGCTGCCCCTCAGCTCTCCCCCACACATTCTTGTTGTCAGGACTCAGTTCCTTGAAGGTGTTTGGACTAAGAAACTCATTTGCTTGCTGGCTATTGGCCAAAGGCCACCTTCAGTTTCTTACCATCTGGACCTCTCCGTAGGAAACTCACAATATGTCAACGTACCTCTCCAGACCAAGCAAGCAAGCAGCGCCAGAGACTGAGAGTAATGTGAAAATACAGAGCCACTTGCAAGACGAGAGTGGCAGACTTTTGAAATTTAATCTTGAAAGAAAGATCCTGTCACTTTTACTGTTATCATGTTACTCTGTTTCTTTCTTAGAATCGAGATACTTGGCTTAGTCCACATAAAACAAGAGAGGAGACTGGGAATAGCTGGTCACATCTCCAACCCAGAGGCAGACACAGATAAGAAAGTCAAGGTTCAAGACCAGCCCAGATAAGAAAGTCATGGTTCAAGACCAGCCCAAGCGAAAGTTATGGAGATCTGATCTCACCAAACTACCTGGGCAAGAGGAAGAAGTAGGAAGATCGAGGTCCAAGGCTCATGCCAGACAACAACACAAGGTTCTACTTGAACAATAACTAGAAATATAAAGGATTGGATTGGTGGAACAATTGTCAAAGGACTTGTCAAGCAAGTGCAAAGGCCTGAGTTCGAGCACCAGTACCACCAAAACCAAAACAAGAGGCTAGCCAAGGGCCCAGAAACCAAGAATTGGAGACTTCGGAGAGAACCATCTTAGCAGTCAGCATACCACAGCAAGGATATGTTTTAAAAATCACATTCTCCCAGGATTATTACTTAGAGCAAATAATGGTCCCTCTCTAAGAAGAACAAATCAATCCAACAGCTGAAGAAATCTCAAGGCTGAGGGGCCTAGCTGTAAATCAAACTGCTTTTATTGAGCTGACAAGAGTAGAGACGAGTTGGCCACATTCAAAGGCCATGTGAAGTAGGTAAGTCTGCATTGCTAGGGAACACTGGCAGGCAACACACAGGGCCTGGGTTTCTCGCAGATTTTATTGATGAGCTGCACTTTGCGCTTGGCAGGCAAGGAAAGACATCACAGAGCCCAGGCCTCTACGCACAAGCTCCAAAAGAGTCCCAGTCCTAACCTTTGCTTCAACTTTGTTCCAAGATATTTCCTCTCCATCAAGAAAAGAATTCCAAGACAACTTGCCAAATGAGTGCTCAAAGGATCAAGTTGCTACCGCACCAAATCCTGAATACCTTTGCCAAACATGTTAAGAAATAAATCCAAGGTGATGTGCAGAACTACAGAAAACTGTGTTAGGAAGATTTGCCTTCTCTGAATGCAGGAGGAATAACTAGTTAAGAAATTGTTCACTGTCTCCGCTCTCTCCTTCTGCTCTGCTTCTCATCCTCTTACCCAGGCACAAATTACACTGAGAAAGATAGAGACAGAGACAGAGAGCAGGAGAGAGTGCATCCTGCCATTTCTGAGTGGGAGGAGGAAGCAGGGACATTGCTTTCTGAATCATATGACGCCATGGATGATAAATGGTTGAGAGCTAGCCTCATATCCATGGCCTGGAAAGTGGACTATTTTTTTCAGACTGAAATGCAAAGACAACAAATGATCTGATTATTCCTCCTCTGTAGGTTATTGTCAATGTCTTGATTGTCACCCAGCTTATGCATCCTCCTGGTGATTAGAAAGTGATTCAAAAGCGAATCCAAATGATTCAATATTCAGAGTTCATTTCTTGATTTCTAAGTGAAAAGTCATCCAGACCCTCTCTCCTCCAGGCCCTCACCATCACCACCAGACACAGAACATTATGCCCTCCTCCGATCCTCTCAGGGGATAAAATGCTTGCAGATAAAATGCTCTACAGAAACCTCCTCATCTTTCCAGCAAGTGGCTCACAGTCTGAGGAGCTTATTTCAGTCCATTCTATCATCAAACTTTCTCACCTCTGCCCCTGTTAAGTATCCTCCACAGTCAGATTGGCTTCATGGTCTCCCCTTAAGTCTACAAGCTCTTTGGAAGCAAGAACTGCCTCTTGGAGATCCAAATTCTGGATCATGAAATATAGATTTGAACATCTAAGTCATAAAACAGTATTTGACATTAAAAAAATGTTAAGATTTACAGAAAGTGAATCTGTAGTGAATGGTATGGACAAGGTATGGACAAGAAGCGAAGGAACAGGACAAAAGAAGGGATTGTGTAGTTTGTAAGTGATGATGTGAGTCACCACGGTACTGGTGGATTGGGATGTTGGCACAGTGTTAATACCTGTTGGTTCCTGTAAGTGAATGTGCTCTTCCTCACTGACTCATTCAGTGGGAATTAAACATCACATCAGTTTGGGATGGGCACTTTTACAGCTCTTCAAATTAAAAGTGAGTCGTTTCTTACATAAGAATTGTTTCATAAGTCACATTTCCACAGAGTGGATTCTAATGTAATTAAGACTCCAGAAATAAGGTATAAAGCCTTAACTAAAATATTTTTGCATTCAAAAATAAGAGACCAGCTAGGTGCTGGTGACACACTTCTAATCATAACTACTTGGGCGACTGAAACAGGAGGACCACAGTTCAAGGCCAGCCTGGGAAGAAAAGATTGCAAGGTCCCTTCTTAACCCATAGCTGGGTGTAGAATTCATCTGTCATCTGACACTATCTGATCCCAGATCTCTGATCAGAAAAGTTTGTGTGACACCATCTCTAAGTGGGAAGAGATGTGTTTATGCTCCTGTGATCCCAGTAATGAAAGGAAGCCTAAAGTAGTGAACAGCATACACAGGAGCAGGAAGCTAGGCCCTGTCTCAAAAATCACTAGTGAAAAATAGTGTCAGCCTAGAAATAGCACAAAGCCCAGAGTTCAACAAGCAACCAATAAATAAGTATAAATCAGGTACCACCGTTTTTGCATTTTTTTCAAGATGTCTTAAATGAAAACTATTGGAGAAGAGCTTTGAAATGAAACAAGAGCCAGGGCTGGGAAGGTGGCTCAGTGGTAGAGCGCTTGCCTTGCATGCCTGAGGCCCTGGGTTCGATTCCTCAGCACCCCATAAGCAAAAAGAAAAAAAAGCCAGAAGAGGTGCTGTGGCTCAAGTGGTAGAGCGCTAGCCTTGAGCTGAAAAGCTGAGGGACAGCGCCCAGGCCCAGAGTTCAGGCCCCACGACCGGACCCAAAAAAAAAAACCAAGAAACAAGAGCAAATAAAAGTTACTGGAAACGAAAAAAAATGGCAAGTTGCTTTTAGGCTATTGTTATCGAATAGAGAGTGAGCATGAGTGCATTTATCTAAATTGATAAAAGCAGCAACATCCCTGGAGGTGGGGAGAAGCTTGATTCTTGGTAAAAATTGGTCCTAGATTTAAATAATAACAAGAATTATTGTGTGTGTGTGTGTGGGTGCACACAAGTGTGTGCTCACGTGCAAATGTGCACGCACACACACACACACACATCTACCATTTAAGGCACTTTACATTCAATTTGTACTTGATACCGTCCCAACTTTGTGTCTGGATTACTATTATTATCTTCATTTTGCTCAGATAGAAGCTTTAAATATTTCATTTCCTAGTCCAGAAAAAAGCATATCATTGAGTAAGGATAAACTAAAGGCTGCCAAGAAATAGAAACCAATAGGAATTTCCCATGATTCTCTTATGTTTTCTGTCATCGAGAGTCTTTCACTTTCCACAGTTGATCTACAGTCAGCCATGGCCCAAAAATGTGAAATGGAACATTCTAGAAATAAACAGTTCATAACTGTTGATGAGACATTCCTAACATTATGAGAAGTAGGATGACCTCGTCTATCCTGCTCCATCTTTCCTGGCTGTGAGTTAGCCCACGATGCAGAACATCCACTCTGTCTGTGCTACCTTCCCCCCGCCCCACATTAGTCACTGTATAGTTTGTTTCAGTATATGTACTATTGACTGTTGCAACATTGAGGTACTTGTGTTGAGTCAGGAGTACTGCTGCTGCCTGTTTGGATACGCCAAAGAAGAGATGTAAAACGCTGCCCTTAGATAAAATCATATGAGTAGGACAGAGATGCTATAGTTACATAACTGTTATTTTTATATTTTCACATAATTCTTACATTTTTATTACTATTCATCTCTCCCTGTACTTAATGGATACCTTAAACTTTTTCATAGGTTTGTGTGTATAGATATTACTGTGGTACATCTATACTTACAAACATCCACTGTCAGGATATTTATATCTAAACATATCTATAGAATTGGTTGCTGGCTTTCTATTACACACCTTTCAGAAGTTCAGCATCATTGCAGAAATCTGTTGGTATTGAAATATTAAGCTCGGCAGTGATACATTGGCATGTTTAGGAAAACTTCAAAATGAGAGAAAGAAAATAATGGTGGTCTTCTAGATAATGCCACATTAAAAAAGCAAACAAATTATTCGATCATAATCATCTATAGTAATTGTGTTCTGCCGTGACAAAATACTTGAGCCTGACTAATTTATAATGAACAGAAGTTTGGCCCTGCTCTTGGCTCACAGTTCTGGAGCTGGGAAATCCAAAGGCACACCATCAACTCTACCAAGGACCTTCACACAACCTCACCCTGTGGCAGAAGGCAGAAGATGGAGAAAAATAAAAGAGCAGGAGGAGGATCCCATGATAACTTGCTGACTCTCAAGATAATTACATGAAGTATATTCAAGAATGCTTAACCCTTTGATCAAGACTCAATACCTTGACTCTTCTTTCTATTCAACTCATAATCTTTGTATTTAGTACACAACAGTTCTTAATGTATACCTAACAATATAGTAAGTATAGTAAGTATTCCTCACGTATATTTATATATATATATATATATATATATTCAGCATGTATATTCCTATACAATTATGGGTCAGAACTCTGTTTCACAGAGTCTAAGAAGCTTCTCAAAGGCTGCACCACTAATGGGTGGATGAAGTAGACTGGATCCTCTGTTCTTCTGAATGTTTATGATCTACATAATGCTGCACAAAAGTTCACAGCTGATTCCACTCATTTTATGGATGCTAGAGAGTAACAATAAAGTTTGTGTCAGGTATCATAAAAGTGAGGACAGGTAATTTCTTGGGTTTTATGAATGCTTTTGTGCAATCCCTCTACCAATTCTGTGCTGGCAGTGATATGTGACACAGGCCTCTGGTTTCCTAAAGGTATTGTGATTTGTGAGCTATTTTATATCCTATGTGTATACCTTTGGGCAGACATAAAATAAGAATGAGAAATTCTGTTTCGCCATATGAAGCAGGTTCACTAAGCACTGGTTACCAGTTGTTCCGAGTCCAAGGAGACAAAACTCACTCCCACGCAACAAGTTACAGGAAGTGGACTTATTGCATACAGCGAGGCTGCAAAGGAAAAGCAAAGGGTAGGAGCGACTAAGCCAGTCCCTGTAGAGTTAGGAAAGCTGCCACGGGCAGATGGAGACTGGGCTGTGTAGGCTCCATTTGCACTGTGACTGAAGAACTCTGGAAAGCAGCCTGCCTTGGTTTTATATCCTAGGGTTATGTGACTCATCGAGTTAAAGCATCCTGTTTTGTTGGGGCAAAGAGGCTGCTCTAATCTGGCCAGATTCTCTTTATCTCAAGATGTTGTTTCCCAGAACATTTACAAGATTATTAAGAACTACCAGCCAGAAAGAGGAAGAGCTGTGTCAGCCCAAGGACACCCAGACAATTGTCCTACATACCATTTTTTTTCCTTGTAAAAGAATCTCAGGAATGCCTACACTTCCAAAAGCAGAAACTTTCAGTATGTTTCCATGAATTTCTCATGGTGTCTGCGGTTTCAAGGACGAGTAATCTACTATGTGCATCCCATTCTCATCCAGGCATGGTAAGAGATGGATCTAGAGGAGATGGAACAATCTAGCTACTTTGTCATGCAGTTATGAACAGGCATGATTGTTCATCCCCAAATTTGTCTATCAAAAAGTAAAATTTACAAGCCAATTTAATGTCTTCCCTGTCAGCTGTCAGATTTTAATCCCTTATGCCCAGAAGACTGTAAAGAGAGAAACTTAAATCTGAAAATAACTAGTGTTTTCATTGTAGAGTTAGCATTTCCTTCAGTCAGTAGTTCATGGTGTTTTCAGCTTTCTCTGAAAGCTTTCTCTGTAATGATCCATCAAAGGGAAAAGGATGAACATAGGCATTTTAAAGCAAATGATATTTACATTTAGCCTTTTTCAGCAATAATAATGTCTCTAACATTGAATCATAGAGTTTCAGGTTGAATAACAATATTTTAAACAAGTAATGTCAGGATTTTCTGACTTCAGTTTTTTATTTCACAATTCTGAATGACATGAAGGCACACAACACTCTTGCATATATACAGGATGAGAATTTGCTGAACCTAATTATCAAGCCATGCATGGAGCTAGTGGGGGAAAAATGCCAATTTCTCTCAAAAGAATTCAGGGGAGAAAAGTTCATACAACTATAAAATCCATGGATATATATTTGAAGAGTCATGAAAAGTTGCATGGTTCATAATTTTCCTCTTAAAGTCTGTACATGTAGGACTCAGCCTCAGCAACAGACCTTTAAATAATTTTTATTTTTCACATTTTTATTTTCACATTTTAAAAAATATGATCAAAACAGCTGAGCACCAGTGGCTCATATCTATTATTCTAACTATTTAGGAGGCTGAGATTGGAAGGGTTTTAGTTCCAGGTCAGTCTGGGTGAAACAGGACACAATATCCTTTTCTCAATCCATCCTTGGGCATCGTGCTACACAATGATCATCACAAGGATATGAAAGGCTGGCAATTTGGAGGACAAAGATTCAAGGCCAGTCCTGGTAGAAAAGTCCTTGAGACTGTCTCCACAGAAGGAAACTGAGTACAATAGTGCGACCCTGTGACCCCAGTGGTGACAAGAAGCCTAAAAGTAAGTGGATCATAGTTTCAGGCATGCATGTGGACAGAAAGCATAACCCTATCCAAAAAGCAATGGTCAACCAACATGGTTAAAGCAGTGGTTCAAATGTGAGGCCTTGAGTTCAAACCCTAGCATTGCCAAAAATAAATTTATATCTGGCCCCAACAAAACGTGATTTGATACCCACGATAACTATTTTCCTTTCTTTAAAAAAAAAAAAAAACATTTTATTATCTTTAAGTAGTAGTACACAGGAATCGCCATTCAACAAAGCAGTTAATGAGCACAATGCATCTGGATCCATGTCGCCCCTTTCAATATCCTCACCCATCACGCCCAACCCCCTCTTCCCTTAACTCTTCTTAATTGTGTAGGACTTTTGACGTGTGTCTGTACCCCCACTCTTAGTTTTCCCTCATGCTGTGACACATCCTCACTTTTCAGAAGGAGTGATGAGGAAAGATGGCCTGGGATGATTTCCCCCCTACTCTGACCTGGACTTTCTAGGAGTTGGTAAGGGAGGTTAGTTTGTGCAGCAGTGTAAACATGCAAGTATTTATGTGTGTAAAATTAACTCGCTGTGGAGTTTGGAGTCAGTCAGAGATGGATTTGAATTCTGGTACCATGGTTTACCATCTACAGGACCATGTTGAACTTACATGGATTCTTCACCTATGTGTTTTAAACACTTGGTGTGAGCTATTTCTTTGCCTATACCTTAAAGAGACGTGATTTTTTTTAAAGACCATGTTTCAGGCTTTTCTTGAACTCATAGTTCTCCTCACACAACTCAAAAGTGCTGGGATTGTAGGCGAGCACTACCATGCCTGGCCAAATGATGTTTAAGAGCAAAGGCTGAGGAAGAAGTCATTCAAATTAAGATTTCAACATAGAAATACTGCCTGAGCTTTCAGCCTCCTGGATCACATTACAAATTTCAGACCTACTCCTCACCTCCCAAACGACATAGCCAAATTCCTTAAAGTACACACACACACCCCTGCACACACAAACACACACTATTTTTTTCTAGGCATCTTTCACTAATATACTATATCATGTTGTTTGGAAAGAAATTCTATATGATTTAAGAATACCAAAAGTATTACTATCCTTCCTCCCCCCAAAACAAACATTACTCAAAATCTACTCATTAACTCACTGGCATATTGGTTTTGCAAAAGAATCAAGGAAAGGTGTACAAGGGGAGAAAGTCATCAGGATTAGAGTCTCCCATGAGAAAATTACTGTGGCTGTTGATCTCTCTCTTGCCACAATTTATTCACAGTAGCTGTCAATGGAAGTAAAGAAATTGAAATCCAATGTGTCGTTCGCTGTATTTGGACCAGATCCAACTCTGTGCAGGATCTCCCACTCCACTAGAAATCAGGCCCATATGTCTGGCTGCAATCATTTTATTTTAAGTGAGAGCTGTTGGCCCAGTTTCTGGAAAACCTCAGGACCACACTGTCTCCCTTGGGCTTTCTCATCTGAAAAGTCAAGTAGAAGGATCCCAAAATAACTACATCAAAAGAAATCTGACAAAGCAAAGATAAGGTTTTCCTTGGTCACTGAGTGTGATTTTAAGAAATGGAATGTCTTACATTTCATCACTTCTATTTATCATAATTTCTAAAGATACTTAAACCAAAGCCAGTTCAGTTAAAAAGTTGATACTCTCTTCACAGCACAAATTGATGCAGTATTCTTTCCCAATAACCAGACTTTAATGAATTCATTTCTCTTTCCACAGGTAGACAACCTTCTCTTGTAGCTTAAACTGGGAAATTTGCACCTGGGAAAACACTGAATTTTATAATCAGTGCTTACAAGAAGATAATCACAAATTTCCACAAAGTAAAGCAATTCAAGACTTCAAAGTTCTAATGGCCTTCCTAATGTATAGAAAACCTATTATTTAAAAAATGTGTGCAGTGAAAGAATAGTAGACAGTTGCACTCAGGAATTATTTAGGGAGGAAAAGCTTTTAAGCCAAGTACTAGTGGCTCACACTTAATGATTCTCACTACTAAGGAGGCTGAGATCTGAGGAACAGTTCAAAGCCAACCTGGGTGGGAAAGTATATAAGAAGCTTATCTTCAGTTAACCACTAAAAGTCTGGGAGTGAAAAAGTAATTCAACTGATAGTGGACCAGACTTGAGCAACAAAGTTAAGGGACAAATACACATTATCTTTTAACTCCATGATTCCACATTAAGGAAAACATCAAAAAGCAATAATCCAATAAATATTCCAAGATGTGTGCATCAAATTTGTAATGTTGAATGTAACATAAAAATCAATGTAATTACACATAATGATAATGTGTACAACAAAATACCACAACTGAATGTAATATAAAATCATGTAATTACACATAATGATTATGCATATAACAAATTACTCTATCACAAGTGAATCACATAAAACTATTTTATCTTCATATTATGTGAAGCAGAGAAAAAAATCAATATATAGTGCCCTTCCATTTTGTTTTTAATTAAAGCATTTAATCTCACTATATCCAACTGTACAGAAACTCCAGAAAATTATTCACAAAAAAGTGGATTATTTTCTCTATGGTAATGGACAAAAGGTCTCTATTATCTATTTCAAATGTATATTATTTTCTTGATAAATATTCCATTTTTTTATACTCAGGAAACAGATATTTTTCATAGTCAGGAAACAGATGCTTAAAATCTAATTCTACATAAATTAATATTGGATAAACAGATGAGTGATTTTTTTCTAATCTGGAAACAATTGATACATGAAATTCTAACTGAATTAATGAAGAATATTTATTGTCATATATTTTGAGGGGAAATTTAATTTTTGGAGTTTCCAAAAATTTATAATTCTTAACAGAAGTTATAAACAAGGGTGGAATTTAATTTCATTCACACAAAACAGAATTCTCTGAAATCTAGAGAACCTGCAAGAAAATATTCAAATAATCTTGCCAATAAACATGAAGGTTGAATCTATGGGACTATGGCTTGTGTTTGTCACTGTCTCCAAATCTGTGCAGAGCATGAGCAGTTTATCAATGAGCCAATTAAGTATCACGAGGACTGATGCCAAACACTGTCTGCCATTGACTCCATGTATGCAGTTTAACAAAGCTTTTGTGAACATCGCAGCTTGAGCTATTTTTACATTGTAAGCCTGCTTAGCAATTTCTCTGGATATTTTTCCACTGATTTTCAAAGTAAGTCCTTTTCTAAAAACTAACATCAACCTTGATATGCTTTGCCATGCATCAGTGGTGAAGAAAGCTGAAGCATTTTACAAGAGAGAAGATGAGCAGAAACTGGAAAAACCCCTCCCTGGAATTTGTCTATCAGGTCAACAAAGTGAATGGAGCAATCTGACCTTTTACTCAAAGACTCAACTGTGAACTGGCAATCTGTGTATAGTACCTTCTGCATTATATCAAGCAGTTATAACAAAAGAAAAAGGTGATTAAATTATACATACATATAATATATATTAAGATAGCAGAATTTGACAGCAGATAAGACAGATCCTGGAAACCCTATCTTTAGTCAAAAGTTTAGTTTTTGCATTTCTGTGTGGTTGGTAGATGGTAATACATCTTGGAAAGGAGCCAGGACAGAATGGAAGAAGAATCTGGAAGATTTAGGATAGCATACATTTAGCAGATGGTATAAAATTATTTCTGTATTTTAACAATGGTAGAGCTCCACATACCCACCATACACCTTTGAATTTGGTGGCTAGTACTGAGATTATCTGTGGAAATGCTCCTTAATCAGTGGTTTCCTCTTAGGCCACAGGTTTGAGAACAGTTGTGCTTTTCCTCACAAAGATCATCTGACAATATCTAGAAGGTGTTTTTCTTGCCATGACTCAGGACGTTGTACCCGAGGGAAGAGGCCTGCTGGAATTCCTAATGTTCACATATTAACTACCTGGGCCATATTCTCAACAGTCCACGATCGAGAAACATTGCCTTTAACATTGTCTATGAGTTAGTTAAGTTCTGTTATAATTGTCCTTGTCTGAAATAATTGATATTTCACTGGGCAACATAATGATTCTAATCTAATAGGACAGAGTACAGAAGTACCAGTGTTCATCATAATCATATTTCTCTTGTTCTTTGTTAAAAACACAGGAAACCTCAGACTTAATAATTTGAGATTACCACAGACATGCCAGAAGGATTAAGCAATAACAGTTACATTCCATTTGCAAAATGAAAAAGCACACATCTGCATTTGCTAACAAAGACTTCAAGCTCCAGTAGTCAATCTACAGCCTAGCAAATGCAATTCCTTGAGTTCAAACCCAGCACCAACAAACAAACAACAAAAAGCCTTCATGTTCACAAATCAAGACAGCAAATCATTTCCCCAAAGGTAGACTACTAATATAAATGTGTGAATGGCAACGTATGTCACATGTAAAATTCTGGTGAGTAGGGATGGAGGAAGGAAGTGAATGTGTAAATATGTGTGTGTGTATGTACATGACAATCACAGATTTGTTGTTGCTGCAGCATGAGCTTACAACTGTGCACTGTGGCATCACAGAAAAATACTTCCATCTGTCCTAAATGGAGGAAGGCCAGAACACTTCTTGAGGGGGCAATGGTTTTCCAGTCTTTATATTTCATTTTCTGGTATTCAATATTCATGTCATTAGAAATCGTTATTGGAAAAATGTCTTGGTGTCTTTCCAATAGATATTTTAAGAAACTGTGAGTTTAAAAGAAAAAAAAATGGGTCTGTACCAGCCGGTGTGTACTCATTAAGAGGTAGAAAGGCATCTCTCTCTTTAAACCTCTTGTAATCAAAAGACACTTGTTTTCTCTGCCAGTCTAGTATCAATACAATCTGAAGTTGGTGTAGCACTTCATAAAGAGCTCATTCAAGAACAGCTACTCTAAAGCATCAGCCAATCATCCCCGATCCACTTCTATTTTTATGCAATGAGATCTGTGTGGAAAAAAAGTAAAGCAAAAGTTGAAAATTTCTGCCATGTTTTTCTTCTATGTGTCTTCTATGTGCCTTCTTTGCATTCAGAGCATAGAATAACACTGAAGGGATATTCAGAGAACAAAAGTTGTTTCTGGAAAGTTAAACTGGAAGACAGGAGAAAGACTTTAAACTATGTGAATATATTGCCTATCTTTTTTATCTTTTAACATAAATAAAGATAATAATCTTTAAAGAAAAAGATAGATGTATCTCTTAACATAAATAAAATTAGAACAAAAATTGACAAGAATTAAATGAGAGCCTTTTATATTTGATTTGAGAGAACCTAAATATTTAGGCTGATTATGGTCCTATATATTGGGGAAAACTTAAATTAGATATGACAGGACTGTCACCTTAAGAAACTACCTAAGAAAGTCAGACTTGTCACACACAGATTATCTGCCCATAATGGATTTTTTTATAGAAGAAATAGAATTAGTATTTCAGAATGCAATCATTAATGTTATCATTATCATTATTCTATAATTATCTTATATTGCATTTTAAATATTACATGTTGTGTCAGAATATGAAACTACTGGTTAGAAGCATTTATAATGCCCTCAAGTTGATTATATATCTAAAGTAGTGGGGAAATGTATAGAACATATCAGATTAACAAACTGACTGACAAAGGCATTTTAGTTTTTTCTGAGATTGCAAGTATAAGCCTTAGTCTAGAAGAATATTAGGTAATACAGATTTGTGTGATCAGATCAGAAAAACTATTTCTGGATTTATGG